GGCAGTGGAGTGGGAACTTTCTGGCTTTCCCACGTTTCCATTGCACTCTGCACTTGGCATGGGCCTTCTTTGCTGCTCTCCAAAAGAGCCCTAGTAGGAATCATGTAATACCCACTGGCAGAGTGAGCCGACACTTTTCTCCCTCCCTCTATGAAGCTCTTATTATCCAAGAACAATGGTATTTTTACTCTGGCATTCTCGATGCCAGTTGAAGAAGCTTAACTCTCAGAAGAATTAGTGTGTTGATGATTTTGTCAGTGAATGATTTCTACTTAGAATAATACTTATGGCTATTTCTAGAAATGACTGCTTCTTTATCTGTTATTTCCAGTGTTTTCCATGCAGTGCCATTTTATGTTAGGCAGGTTTTAAGTAGTTGTTATACCAGAAGTGGAGGAGGATAATGATTTAATGGTACAGGAATCTCAGGGGTGCGAGTGTGGAACCCAAATAAACAAAACAACAATGACAATAATACATTCTCTTATAGTAATACAGAGTTGTAGTATTTATTCAACAAATAATTACTGGGTGCTATCTTCTGCCGAGTACTTTCTAGATGTGTGGATGTCAGAGAATAGGACAAGAAACCCTGTTTTCAAAAGGTTTGTATTCTCTTAGGTTTTGACTTATAATAAATAAATTATGGAACAAGTTAAAAGGTGATAAATGCTGTGGCAAAAAGGAAGAGATTTAGGTAAGGAATTAGGAGTGTGTGTGTGTGTGGGAGCAGGTCTCAGTGTCATCCACAGTGGTCAGAGTGGGCTTTGATTCCAAGGCAACACCTGACTGTGCTTTGATAAAGCAGGCATCGTATCACTTCAATGTTATATAACAGTAATCTTTTTTCTGAGTACCTACTACATTTCAATCCTTTCCTAGGAGCCTTAAAATGTTGTTTCTAATTGTCAAAACTATCCTGTGAAGTAGGGTGCTTCATCTCCTTTTTTTTTACAAGAGGAAAATGAAGTGTGCTGGAAAATGAAAGTGTAGGGTGCTTCATCTCCTTTTTTTCACAAGAGGAAAATGAAGTGTACTAGAGTGTGAATTTTGGTAACTCATTCAGAAGCTTATAGTCTTTCCACCCTACCAGTGTCTCTCAACAAGTGGTTTCCTAAGGTGGGTGTAGGAGCCTGCCAGAACCCCTGGAGGTGTTCATTAGAAAGTACAGATTCCTGGGCCCCATGCTAGTGCTACTCCATTCAATTTTCTGTAGAGTGGCCTAGGATTCAGAATGTCTAACAAGTTTCCTTGAGAAATGTGCTGCATGGCTCAAGTTTGAGAACTGTTATTATAATGTGCTGCCTTGGTCTTTTGGTAAGAGTGGTCATGATGTTTGTTATCATGAAGTATTTCCAGCTTTAGGATCTCCAAATCAGTGCCTAAAAAGCAAACCTCTTAGCCTGACCCTTAAATTATATATTAACCTCTAAATTTGTCTTGTGTCCCAATGCCAGGTTCTTTTCGGCCCTTTTCCATGAAGTTGGACCCCAGCCACATGGGAGAGGCAGTCTCAGTATTAGGAAATGAAGGACATTCAGTACAAACTTGGGATTCCTTCCAGGCTGCTGGGGGTTTCCAGGTCCCACCCACCAGGTCTTCTGTGGAATGACTGCCTCCAGGGTACATTCTGCCTTCAAGGACAAGCTTACAGCCACTTCTCCTAACACATCTTGCTTTCTAGTGCCAATGAAATTGACACCTTCATTTTGGATCTCATAAACTCTTCCAAAGACTATGAAGCTGCACATTTGCTAACTACCTTTAACCATCAGGCCTTGGAGAGCCTTGCTTTTCTTTTTTTGAAATTTTAATAATTTCAAAAGCTTCTTAAAACAAATCAAAGCAAACTTATATATATATATATATATATATATATATATATATATATATGACACATATTGCATTTCTGTCTATCCACACAGACCGACTTAAGCCAACCAACCACCCCAGTCTTGGTGTAACCAACTAGAGTCTAAAATGCCAAGAATGCTAAGAGAATCCAAAATGTGAAGAAATTAATTTTTTTGTGCTTTTTGGAATTATAAGAGGGGAAGTAAGTGTTAGAGCAGTGGTGGTGAACACATGGCATGTGTGCCGCAGCGGGCTGTTTGTATCATTGAAAGCTCTAAAAGGTTCTCCACCACTGTGCTAGACAATCGAGCCATGCAGATTTCAGAAGTAGAAGGGACTGTGGATATCATTCATTCAAGCACAGTTCTTGGATAACTAAAGAAATAGAAATCAAAGATGTGGCTGTGTAGCTAACATGTAGCAGACAGGACTGCCATAAATTTTTCTGGCCCCAGTTTATATTTATAGACTTAGGGTTAGGATCTTTGTCCCCTTTCCTACTCTATTGTTCTTTTTTTTCAATATATAATTCCCATAATCTATATAAGCAGAGCAAGAATGATTACATTAGTGGCTAACTAACTGTGAAACAGATATCCTTAACCCTTCCCTTGCCAAACCTTTTCACACATGTAAATGGTAAGAATTGGTAAAATGGAGATCATAGCTCACAAAGGTACCATCAGATCATTCATTAATTCAATGCGTATTTTTGTTCCTACAATGCTCCAAGCACAGAAATAATGCAGTGAAGTAGATGGAAATGGACGAAAACTTATATTTTAGTGAGGAAACAGAACAAATAAGAAACATTAACAAAATTCTCTATTAGTAATGGTGATTGCTAAGAGGAAAAAGCAAGGAATAAGAAGAGGGAATGAGTGTGTGTATGTGTGTGTGTGTGTGTGTGTGTGTGTGTGAGTGTGTGCATGTGTGTGGGGGGGTGGTAGTGGAGAAGCTCCATTTTAGATAAGGTTGTCAAGAAAGGCTTCCCTAAGACGGAAAGACTATAACTTGGGAAGCCAAATATGAGCTATGACCTAAGAGAATCTCAACATCAATTCTTATGGAGAATGATAACCAAAGATTAGATTGGGAAACAGTGGGGAAAAGTGGAATGCAGATATATTTTTGCTGTTCTTGGTAATCCAGGTGGCAGGAAATGGGGAGAAGATGGATGGCACAATTAAAATGACAACAGCTGTACTTTCAAGGAAGCTTTGTCAGTATCTGAGGTGAACAGAAATGCCTGATGGTTTGTAGTTTCATATAAAGGAGAACTTTGCTTGGAAAACAGAACTTAGAAAATAGAATTAAGATCGATGATAAGTACTATTTTTTAAAAAAAAAATGTTCAGAGAACATGAAGTAATGCCAAGACTAGTTGGCAAGATGATATGTGACTTAAAACTTGATGAAAATGTTGAAAAATTCTGACATTTGATTCATCCAAACATGTAATTAATTAGGAGGATTTGGGGTGAAGTGTGAAATTCATATAGAGTCAGTGACTAAATCAACATTTTTGAGAGCTTACTTACCATGTGGAACACAGGGGCAATGCTTCAGGGACACAAAGAGGATCAAGACATCATTCTACCTCAGTGAACTTTTCACCATGGTAAATTCATTTTCTCTTCCTCCTGGGCACCCCACCAGAATGCATTTCCCAGCCCCACTTGGAGTTAAGAGTGGCTTGTGGATAAATTCTGGCCAGTAGGGTTTGGGTCCATATGACAGATGCTCCTTCTTAGTTTGCCCATAAAATCCTAGCGGGTGGCAGAGTCTCAAGATACAGGGAACTGGGATTAGTGCAGTCACCGCCTGGAAGGCTGTCTGCCACATATCTGATTAAATATTATATCAACAACACATTTATGTCTGTGGTGTGAAAGAATTGAGATATGAGGCAGCTCGTGTTTCCCGAGTAATATAATTAGTAGTTAACACTTGCTTAGACTTTTACAGTTTGTATAATGCTTTCACATATCAAATAATTCTGGTAACCACTATGGGAATTAGGCCTTAGGCCATTCACAGGAGCTTAAATTTATGCCCACAGAGTATTGAATTACTTGGTCACAATCACATAGTTAATACACAGAAGGCAACCATTCTAAACCACTGGCTCTTGAATTTACAAAAAGATTTTTTCATAAGACAAGCTTGGAGATAAATCTAATACAAGGTATTTGATAAGCATAGATAAAACTCTTGAGAATATTCAACAGAGTCAATTAACCTTCTGGTTGAAGGAGCCACAAAATGGTCTTGTGGAATAGGTAAGCTTTATAGTGTTTACAAATTGACAAGAGAAATGGGACAACCATGGACAAAGTTCCTATAAATCTTGACCTGCAATATGAATCGAGAACAGAAATAGAAGAGAATTGGCATTTGTTCTAATGTTTCAAGGGAAGTTGGAGCAAGCCATGCAGTTTTATGAAGGAAAACAGGAACTGGTAACTCAATACAAATCAAAAAAATATTTATTGAGTGCCTGCCAGATGGAGGGCCTTCCAAAATTGTACAGAGGATACAGAGAGGAGATAACAAGGGCATAGCCCTTGTTTTAAATGGATTTATAATCTACCAGGGGAAATGATCATAAATGACCGTAACACAATGTTGAGTAATATAAACACTAATACGAACAGTAATGGAGTTCAAGAGACAGAGAAGTGGCATGGGAAGCAACATGGAAGGACCTAGGAAGGAAAGGTGAAACTTCATGCTGGAGGTAGAATGTCAAGACTGACCTTGCACAAGGTGCTGTCATCGAGTCTGGTTATGAATACACGATTTCATGAAGACCACAGAGAGAATTCTTAAAAGAAGGATTCATCAATGTTCTCAGCCAGGACCACTGCTTTTGGAGTAAATGACTCCAAAATTTGATTATTTTGCAGGGGACAACAAAATGGAATTTTCAATTTATGCATGTTTGTTTAAACATGCAATCACAAACTAGCAGTGATATCACAGTTATGAAAATGTTTATTCCTATGGAAACAACCTGGCTTCCAATGAATTCAGTCAGTTACCAGCATTGCAAATCAGAAGGTGGTGAACTTCAGTTTCATTATACACCATAGGCAACCAATAAGCAGTTCACTGAGATAAGCTGCCACTAAAAAGTCACCTACCATGAACAGGGTTTCATAATTTTCAATCATCTTCTGCACTACAGCAATGATGGCTGTGCTCTCTTCAGCCCGGGCCGAACTCTGGACTGAGAATTCTTTGTCTGATGACTTCTGCTTGTGCAGCAGGTTGGGTCCAAATATGGTGGCCAAGTTTAGAGATGTCATTTTGTTCCCAGTGACCTAGTGCAGAAGAGAATACCAGGGCTGTTGTTATGTTTGCTTTCTAAAATTCTGGTGGCTCCGTATTCAATGAAACCTTTTCTTTTCCATTTGTTTGCTGCAAGGGCATTATCTCTGTCAGAAACCACAAGGGGTCCTATCTTTTTCCCTTTGCTTCCTATCTTGGATCAAAGGTCACAGCTCAGTGGTCATCTCAATAGCATATTGAGCAAAAATTTGCAACTCCATGGTTAATTGTGAAACTGGTACTATATAAAATTTCTATCCTGTCTGTACTTAAAAAATACTGATATCTATCCATCCATGCATTCATGTCTTTATCTATTTACCCATCAACCCATAATATCTCCACTGATCTATCCACTCAGCACATACCACGGCTAGGCATTTTTCATGGATTATAATTATTTAAAAATTCTTCTGACAGTACTCATAACACAGTCCTTGTTTTGAAGGCCTCATGCTCTAGGAACAAAATAAACATCATTTTGGGGAAGTCAGTACAAAGAATGAAGCTGTCAACCCCAGAGACCCCAGGAACACTATTACAGAGGTGGCAATATTTGTCTACAATCTGAGAGGAAGAATAGAGTGCACTAGGCTGAAAAGCAGAGGGTCTGGGCAGGGGTCTGTTTCACAGTGGAGAAAATACCATAGGCAATGACAAACAAGCGAAAGGCATCAGAGTGCCCGGAAGCCCAGTAGGGCAGGGCTGTTGCAGGAAAGCCAGGCAGGCCCAGATGAGAGAAAGGAGTTTAGAAGGTGACTCAGGACAAAAGGATTCTGCATGAGAATAGAGCAGAGTTTCAAATGTGTTAACCCCTGTGCCAGGTGTTCACTGAGATACTCATACTACGCTTTCTTCCAGATCAGACTCTGATGGCTCTAATGGCCTAGCTCAGAGCCATTTCAGTGGTGTGGCAGGAAGTGGAAACAGTGAGTGGAGAAATTTTCTTCAAAAGGTCTCACAGATAAGGAGAAAGAACAAAGATGTGTGTGTGGGGGTATGGGTTGAAGAATGGGAACTATTTAAAAAAAATTGTTTTGCAGAACTGGGGATTGAAACCAGAGCCTTTTCACCGAGCTATATCCCCAGCCCTTTAAATTTTTTTTTTTTTAATTTTGAGACAAGGTCTTGTTAAGTTGCTAAGTTGCCCAGTCTAGGCTTTCATTTATGATCCTCCTGCCTCAGCCTCCCAGAGTGCTGGGATTACAAGCATGCACCAGCCTGCTGGCAAAGGAAACTATTCTTTAGTTTGAAGTATAAAGAAATTATTCATGTTCAATATATTAATAAATAAAAAGCACAGGTAAGCATATAGAAGCAAAATGCCCATAATTCCACCATTTCTAAGAGCCAGCTGCTCATATGGTTTTCTATGTGTATATGTACATATATGCAGTTATGATTTATATCTAAAATGTCCTTCAAATGTCCCATGTGTTCAGGCAATTGGATCACGGGGGCACTACAGCTAACTTACTGGGTCTCTGGAAGTGTGACCTGAAAGGGTGTATTCATGTCTCTGACTCCTCTTTTCTCTCTCTCCTTCCTGGGTGCCATGGATTGAGCACCTTTGCCTCCGCCATTCCTTTCTGCCATCCTGTTTCTGGCAGGAAATTTGTCCTCATTTTGTCCACCTCCTGAGACTTTGCAGGAGACTGAGTTCAAGGGTAGTAGAATAATCGATCTTGCAGAAGAAATTACAAAGCAGCCCAATATTCAGGCTGTGCCATAGGTACTGCTGGAAGATTTTAGCCAGATTGACAGTGAAATTCAGGAGCAAAAGCAGATGTGCAAAGTTTGCAGTTTCATTTGAAAAGAAGTGCTTGCAAAGTTGGGGCCACAGAGAACATGGTTGCTGAAAAGACTAGCATTAAAAATGACCCAAGCACTGTGTATCAGTATGTACATATATATATATATATCCATACTATTATTTATTTTTAAAAATTAGCATCACATTCCATATATTATTTTGTAACTTGTTTATTATCTCTTAACAGCATGGTACATTAATCTCTCAATTTCAAAAAATCCTTTCTTTTCAGTCTGTATTGGGCCAAAACATCTTGTTGCATGAACAGATCATGATTTGTTTTAACTACAGCCAAGTGATGGGAATTTATGTTGTTTTCAATATTCTGTTATTATAAAACATAGTACAAAAATATCCTCAAAAAAGACTTTTTGTGAGCTTAGCTGAGCACTGTCTTAGGAGTAAATTCTACGAGTCAAATTGTCATAATAGGGAATACAAGAATTTTTAAAGGCTTGGGAATTTTTGTTTTGTTTTGTTTTACTTACTTGCTTCTTTTTCACATGGAAGGGAGAACTTGGCTAAGCTTCTGTAAGTCAGAGTTTATCTTGGCACTAGTGACATTGGGGCCAGATCATTCTGGCCTTGTGTGTGGTTGGATGTTGAGTGGCCCTTGGGCCCCTAAATGCTTGTAGCATCCTACACCCCCTCTCCTGTTTGAGAACTATTGGTATGTGTGATTTTTTATTTCTCTCATCAATATTAGCTGAGAATCTAGGACTGTCAGGATGAGGAGGTTTTCCCCAGAAAGATCTACATAGCCTTTGAGAAACACGTGGTTATCCAACATAGAATTCACAAGCTCCAATGAACATCCAATAGGAAGCTTCTGCGTCTCCCCCTCATTCTGTGCAGCCCAAAGCTGGTGGCTAACCTGTCCTGCAACTCTGCTAGGCCACATGGTTTGCTTTATTTTTAAAAGGTGAGGCTGTTTTCAGGTAAATGTTAGGTCACCAACAGAAACCATTCCATGTGATAAACACTAGAATTTGAATGGAAGTACTTTTTATGTGGGATCTTCAGTAATTTTTCTTTGTTTTATTTCACTGACATAAAGCCTGAACTATTTTCATTTTATTTTTCATTTCTCCTCCTGGCAATTCATGGTTAAGGATAAAATAAAATATGTGTCATTTTCAGATTCCTCCCTTTAGTACTCAGAGGTGTCTGGAAGGCTTCCCCTCTCCCTTTTAAAGTAATATTAGGATTTTCTCTTTTTCTTTAACATTAACAAATAGAAGATTTTGTTTTCTTTTAAAAGAATGTTTAGTACAAGGACAATCCAGAGCTCTGTTTCCGCTGTCTCCTTCTCTTGTTGCTATTCTGGGAATGCAATACAATCTGTCTGTAAAATTGCACATAGATTCCAGCTGCAGACCAAACTGCTGTGGTTTGTTACCATTTTTTGTTTTGTTGTTTTATTGTTTTTTAAACTGAAAAGGAGACTTGCTCCTAGACATCTTCCACCCTTGCTCTCTATGTTTCAGGATACATTTGCACCTACATGGGATAGTTAGGTAATATATCCACTCGAGGCCAGGCCATTATTGCATGATTTAATTAGCTGGCCAGTTTAAGGCAAACTTTTATCTTCACTACGTAAGTACTCTAGATCATTTCTAAGCCTCATAAAAATAGCTCACATTTATTAAAAGCCTAATGCTTACAGACACTGGTCTAGGGGCTTCCCACAGACTATTTTAACTCTTTCACTACAAGTTTATGAACCAGCTGCTGTTGTTGTCCTCTTTAATAGAAAGCATGCAGGAACAGTGATGCCCAGAGCCCCGAGGTGGTCCAGCAAGAAGCAAAGCTGGCAGTTGCACCCCAGGCAGCGCTTTGTCATCTCCTCCCATTCACTCTTGTGTGGCAGATCCTGCCATGGCAATGGGGAGATGGGAATATGAGCTTTAAAGCAGGGCTGGAGGAGGTTGAGGTGAGGAAAACACTGATTGTGCCAGAGTTCCAAAGCCAACTCACCGCTTCCTAGAGGCATGAACCTCCTCAAGATCAGCAATCGTGACTCTGTATTAGTTCATTTTGCCTCATGCTTAGACCCTTTGAGAACTCAGTACCAGCTATGGTCTCTCTCACCAAACAAGTACCCACTCACATCATAGTTTCTATGCAATTCCAGGGGCTTCTTGGACTCTCTGAAGAGCTACTGTCTGGGATATTTCTTACATTTGGGAATTTCTCTTTTCCTTAATGGGCAATGCAAATAACAAACTAAACAAAATTAATAACACAAAACAAATATAAGATGGAAAAATACCACAACTCAATAAAATACCAGTCTTTTTCTCCAAAAAGCACCAATTAGTCAACAACTTTTCTCATGCCTTCTCTTAGACATTTTTAAGATCCCACCAGCTAATGATGTATTGATTTTTAAGCACCTATTAAAGAGGAAATAGTATGTTCACTTTATAGATGAGGAAGTTCAGGCCTTCCCTGACCCCAACTCTGTTTTCCTTCCTCTTCCTCCCTTTCACAAAGGCAAGGTCATGCAGCAAGGTCCTGCCAGAGCCTGTGTGGTTATTCAAGCCTTCCCACAATCTGGCTCAGTTCTTGTTCATGCTTCAGTTTATAAAACAACAAGCTAACAAATAGGTCATGTAAATCAACAAATATGTAAGAGAAGTTGAGAAATGCTTCATTTCCTGACCATATTTTATATTTTGTATTCACCCTTGCTCTAGTATGTCCATTCTGTGATCTCTACAGGTGCATGCCAAACCAACTAAAAAATATAACTACACAAAGAACCTCCCTCTGGTTCATCTCCCTCCATCCTTCACTTTTACCACAGGGGTGCAGCTAACTTCTAAGCCCGTGGCATGCTTACATGGCCTATCTACTCAATTCCTACACAACTGCTGACGTATTCCTTCCATCAATTCTCCTCCACAGAGCCATTCCAAGCTCATGTAGCCAATGTTCATCCCTTCTCTAAGTTTCTGCAGTGACTCTGTACTGAATTTCCTGATTTTATGTTTGTCTTGGGTCCTCACCTCCTCCACCTCCTGCAAGCCACAGCATCCTTGGAACAGCCACTGGAAAATTCCTGAACAACAATCACTGCTTTAGAAGAGCTCAAGGCAGGTACTAAGGACATGCACAATTCAAATACCAAGGCCATACTTAAATGGAAACATTTATAAGGGAATTGTTTTCCATATTGCCAGTGTACCAGAGCTTCCTAACTTACTTTTCCTCTGTCTCTAAACAATCTGTGGTGTGGGTTTTATCACCTGTTATCAAATCCTTTCAAAGTTTCACATTTTAAAAGAATCAACCACCTACCCTCACAGAGGCATTCAGCACTCTATGAGCATGGCCCAATTTCCTGTTTTCCCCCTCAGTGCTCCTCTGTTCTGGAGCCTTTTCTTGAGCCTAAGTTGGCTGCACAGGCTGCTTGCTTTCCTGTCACTTCTAACCTTTTCAAGAAAGTAATGCTGTCCTTGTATTTTCCCTGCTGCTTTAATCATTGGTTTTTAGTCATTCATTTTGAAGCAAGGTTTAGGTCAAGAACATCTGGATATCATCATATTCTTTAAAGTAAACTAGGCTTCTCAGATACTGCACAGTGCCAGTTGAAGATTGATTGATTGCTTGATTTTTAGAGAAGGAGTTTTGCTATGTCTCCAACTTGTGGGCTCAATCTGTTCTCTTGCCTCAGCCTTCCTAGTAGCTGAATCTACAGGTGCCCACCCCCATGCCTGGCTCTTAAGTGAAGAACTTTTATTCCCTAAGTTCAGATGAGGAAACGTGGGTTTAGGAATTTTAATAGATTTGCCCGAGAACACATGGTTAGTGAATTACAGAACTACTAGATATTCTCAACCACAGATGACTTCTCAACCTAAACTTGAAACTTGGCAATGTTTGGAGGTATATTTGTTTGTCACAGCTTGTACATGCATACACATGTGTGTGTGTGTGTATGTGTGTGTGTGTGCTTATGTGTAGGTGGGTGGATGCTACTATTGGAATTTAGTATGTAGAGGGTAGGGATGCTGCTAAACAACCTACAATGCAAGGGTGGCTTTCACAGCAAAGGATGACTTTGCCCCAAATATCTATTGTGCAGAAGTTGGGAAACCCTGAACTAGATACCAGTAGAGTTTTATTTTATTGCTTCTAAATCCTAGTCTGTATTTTTTTTCTCTGTAATTAGACTGGTTTGTGCTTGAAGTACATCTGCGCATTTACTAGTTATGGAGCCAACCTGATCACTAGTCAATATGATGACTTTATGAGAAATAGAAAAAGGAGGCTCTTCTTTAAGATCTTTTACTGTTATCTGCTGGGATGCTGTGCTAATAACTGCAAATCTACAGTGACTATAGCACACATGGCACCTCCCCCAGAGTTGTGAAATACACAAATGTGCCACTCTGTATGACCCTAAATGGAAATTCCCTGTGGGATCCTGGGTGAGTTACCTAACCTCTTTAGGTCTCAGGTTCTACCTCTGAAACATGGGGACAATAATATCTCTTTTTTTCTGTTAGGAGAATTATCTTCTGTCTGTCTGTCCGTCTATCTATCCATCTATCTGGCACAAAGCCATTAACTGGTAGGCAAGGTATAAATAGTAGCTAGTATTCCAGTATGCAAATTTCCATTTATACCTATCTAAGAATACTGTTTTCTTCTTGGAGTAGCTTTTGGATTGAAAGACTGTCTGAGATGGACTCCAAAAAAGCAACAAAGAGTTCAACTGGACTTTTTGCCTTCCTTACATTGAGGAAATCTTAATCTCCTTAATCACCTGAGATTCAATGTGCTCCTTTTCACACAGTACTTAAGAAATGTCAGAGGCAATTGGTATATCTTCCAAGACAGGGCTCTGTCTTTACTCAGCCATCAGGCAGATGACTCCACAGGTTCTATAATATTTGCAGCCAATAAAGGCTGATACCCAGACGGGTAATATAAGTATGTAACAATTATAAGAATTATAGTCTACCGTCGAGGGCTGCATATGCTGAAATAAGGTGTCAGGACAATATTACAAAACCCAAAGCCAGCAAGGTTTCACTAATTATAACTCCTATGGAGACAAATGACTAACTCAAGTTCCATTCTCACACTCATAGGGAGGGGGAGGAGAAGATATGCAGGATTGCCTTTCTTGATTACAG